AGTTGCAGATGTGAAACAGGACACAGTGCGTGCCTGGCCTAAGCCCAGCCCAGGATGTGCGCCAGCCCGTCCGATGGGCGTAGCGAGTGGACCCAAGTTCTGGAACAGCCCTTTGGAAGGAGGACCTGATTTCTCTGCACACACTGTTTCCCAAGTGTTCCACCAGCAGCCACGTCCCCAGGGCCCGCATCCTCCCAGAGGCCGCTCGTCCAAGCCTTTGCCCTGACTCGCCGCTTGGGCCCAGGTGGGTGGGTTCATTTAGCCTGCGGTACCCTGGCAGGGCTTTCTGCCCACGTCCCGCCTTGTCTGGCTGGTGGCAAGCGCTTATTTCTTGGCATCAGTGGAGTGGGGACAGCCCCACGGTGCCTGGGGGTGCAGGCAGGACTGTGAGTCCATGGGGGTCATCGGAGGGGAAAGTCCCACCCAGCTGCCTAGACAGGTGCCCCGGGGCACCTGTGCCAAGAAGAAGGACCGGGAAGTCGCCGTCGCAGCATTGGCAATTCCCTTTTAATCAGGAACGTCTTCACAACCCAAAGGAAGATTTGTTGTTCTTCTTGCTCCTTGGAAACGCTGGTAATCCTCCCACCTGGGGGTGGGTGGGTGGGGAGTGTGATGGATCAATACCACTGCTTGGGAAACACATTCGCTGCCACAAGCAAGCCTGTCTTTGTGGGGAGTGTTCCTGGTGGTGTCTAAAGCATGGTCTTAATATTAAACGTCAGTCGTTGGGCAGAAAAAAGGAAATTAAAGCGAAAGGAGCCGGTTAGAAGACAGAGAGGTGGCACGCCACCACCTAATAGAAATTTCCAGTGAAAGCCACGCCTTCCTTAGTGGTCTGAAGAATTGCTTCTGACATGCGGCCTCCTGTTACTTTCCTGTCTCCGCTGATGGCAGGGGGCAGATGCAGTGAAGCCAGCATGCTCTGTGCACTGTAGGACTGTATCCGTTAAACCGATGTGTGTGTAATGACAAGCACCTAAACGGGCAGGAGAGATGGGCTGGCCCTGGGGACAGCTTTGGATATCGGAATACTCCTGCAGGGCAGGGGACCTGCCCCTGGGACCGGGTGGAAGATCTCTCTCCGAACCTGAGCCACGGTGTCATACCTAAGCTGTCACATTACTAGAGGGGGTGGGGGAGAGGTGTGTGAGTCAATTGAATAGCAACCACGGAGGTTGCACACTCAGAGAGCAGGAAACAAGGAGGAATTGGGCAGCCCTGGTGTTTGCAAGGAGGCTCAGCAGTGCCCTTGTCCAACCCCCGCCCACACCGCGACTTCAGTGATTCATCTCCTGACTCATTCATTGATTCACTCCATAGAAGCACTGGCTCTGCTGCTTCCTGGCTGTGTGACCTGGAGGTAGTGACTTAACCTCTCTGTGCCTCCATTTCCTCGGAGCAAGTTCCTGTTGGTTTTTGTGGATTCTGGCATGGATGTGTCCTTTTTTTTTTTTTTTTTAATCTATCCTGAGCCCTGGCTGGTTTGGCTCAGTGGAGAGAGCGTTGGCCTGCAGACTGAATGGTCCCAGGTTCGATTCTGGGTAAGGGCGCATGCCCAGGTTTTGGGCTCAATCCCCAGTGGGGGTGTGTGTGCGAGGCAGCCGATCAATGGTTCTCTCTCGTCGTTGGTGTTGCCCCATGTATGGGTCATTCTGGTCTCGTTTATTAACCTTCTAAAGGCTCTAGAGCAGTGGTTCTCAACCTTCCTAACGCCGCGACCCTTTACTACAGTTCCTCATGTTGTGGTGACGCCCAACCATAAAATTATTTTCGTTGCTCCTTCATCACTGTAATTTTGCTACTGTTATGAATCGTCATGTAAATATCTGATATGCAGGATGTGTTTTCATTGTTACAAATTGAACATAATTAAAGCATCGTGATTAATCACAAAAACAATAATTACATATGTGTTTTCTGATGGTCTTAGGCGATCCCTGTGAAAGGGTTGTTCAACCCCCAAAGGGGTCGCGACCCACAGGTTGAGAACCGCTGCTCTAGGGCGTCATGGTTAGAGGTGTTTGGACAGGTAAGCGCACGGAGGCTCATTGAAGTTGGCCACTTGACCTAAGGTCCCCCAGGTTGGGAGAGGCCAGTTGGGGGGCTGCGGCGCACCCCCTCCCTCCACGTCCCCAGGTGCCCTGTGACACACCCACAGGCGCAGGTTCCTGGTCTCCCCGCCTGCATTAACTGGACCCCCGCCCACCTCCCTCCCCCTTCCTTCACTTTGTTCTGAGAGCCAGATGAGAGGCTGAAATAACAAAGTCCCCCCTCAGGGAGCCAAGTTTCAAAGCCCTATAAATAGGACCGTTCCCAGGGGCCCTGGGACGTTCACCAGGACAGACTTTGCAGGACACCAGCTGCCCCTCTGGGCCAAGTGTTCCCTGGTTAGTAGATGTTTTCTTTCCTTCTTCCTCCCTCCCTTCCTCCCTCCCCTTCCGCCTTCTTTCTTTCCTCTGATCTTTCTTCAGAAGTGTGTACTCATGCCTCCCTAATGAGGCTGCAGTCGCCTAGAAAACAAACACATTTCACAATTCCTCCTGAATCCGAGAAAGGAGCCCAGTTCTGGGCAGACACGGAGAAAAGTGCTGGTCAGGCCTCGAGGAGCCCGCTCAGTGCCAGCGTTCCCTCCCAGCCAGCAGGGAGGCCGGCCCAGGGGGCGCCCCGTGTCAAGGCCTTGGGGCAAGGGGCCCTGGGGGCCAGAGCCAGAGGGAGAGGGGGAGGGAGAGCACGGGATCCGATGCGCGGTGGGTCTGTGGCGGGCAGCGCCTGTATTCTGTGCACCAGCCCGCCCACCCTCCCAGCTGGGGGAGATGAGCTAAATGACACAGGAGAGGGTGGGGGGCGCCCCGGGCCCAGCTGGGGGCTGGACAGGACCTGCTCACAGCCGCTGAGGGTGGAGAGAGCTGGTGCCCAGGGTGGGTCCCATGGAGGAGCCCGGACGGAGGAAGAGGAAAAGGTCGAGGCCCCCCCTCCGTGGGTCCTACGTGACCGGCACTCTTTCGGAAATAAGGCGTGATCGCGGGTTTTTCCTGGGAGAGGGCAGGGACTGCAGGAGACCCACGTTTTAGGAAAACCCACTGGCTGCCGGCCCATAGGCAGGCAGCCCAGGTGGGAACGGTGGGGCGTCCCGTATGGAGTGTTTGCTCCCAGGTAAGGACTGGTGGCTTCGTCTGTCCGGGCTTGTAGGACGGATTATAGTTGGGGACTGAGAAACTAGAAACTGGAAACCAGTTGGAGATGTCCATCCTGGTCACTGAGGGCACGGGGAGCCATGGGTGACCACAGGGAACCCAGCCACGGAGGTCCATGCCGCCCCTCCCATCACGAGCCTGTGGGATCGAGGTGGGCAGGACCACCTTCTAGAGCAGTGACGGTCAACCTTTTGAGCTCGGCGTGCCAGCATTTTGAAAAACCCTAACTTAACTCTGGTGCCGTGTCACATACAGAAATTTTTTGATCTTTGCAACCATAGTAAAACAAAGACTTATATTTTTGATATTTATTTTATATATGTAAATGCCATTTAACAAAGAAAAACCAACCAAAAAAGTGAGATCGCGTGTCACCTCTGACACGCGTGTCATAGGTTCGCCATCACTGCTCTAGAGCCCAGCCCGTCTGGGTGGTGCAGAGAAAACCTGGGCTTCGGCATGGCCTTGGCTTTGCCCGTTTCTAACTGTGTGGCCTTGGGCACATGACATTATCTTTGGAGCCTCAGTCTCCACATCTGTGAAATGGCAGTGGGCCTGCCACCCTCCAAGGCCCGCTGTGAAGAGGGAATGAAATCGTGCACCCGGAATGTCGAGCAGGGTGCAGGCTTCATTGTCTGGGCCATTCCGTGGCAGCTATTGTTAATAATAATACCGCCCCTCGCCAAGCAGCCAGGCCTCAGCAGTTAGCACCCATTCTGAGGCCCCGCGTGCTGGCCGCTTTCCGAGAGGGAGGGCGCACGCCAGAGAACAGACACCCACTTCCTGCCGGGTTCTGCTCCGGTTCATTTTCAGCCCCGGCGGGCGGGCTGGCTTCCTCAGCCTGGGCCCCAGGCCCGGAGGCACGGCCTCCCCTGGAGGGGACCATCCCAGCGGCTCCGCTCTGCCCCCTTCGCCCTCGGCTCAGGCACCAGCCTTCCCGGTTCCCTGCGTGGTCATGAGCCTGGCATCCCAGCCACACCAGACTTTTCCACCAGCTTCTGCCCTGCCCTTTCCCCTCCTGGTCCCTGTCCCCTTGGCAGACGGACCGGCCAGGCAGCCTCGGTCTCGACCTCATTCTCCCCGATCATTGTGTTCTGGGCAGGAACTGGGACTCCAAGACCACCCACTTGCTCACTTACCATCTCCCTCGGGGCCTGGGAGGTCCGGTTACTTGCTCGTGTGCCTGTGTTTCCTCCCCACGCAGGGGGCTGCTCGGGGGCAAGCCCAGGAGTGAACTGCTGTCCCCAGAGGGGGGTCGAGGGGCAGGGGGCTGGGGACGTGCGGATGTTACTCCCGCCTGACAGTGGAGCCCACCTTGCGGCCTCCACTCTGTACGGTGACCTTGAGCGAGTTCCTTAATCTCTCCAAGCCTCCATTCATGCATCTGCAAAACGATGCAAATAACACTACACACCCCGCAGGCCTGCTGTGCGGATTAGCTGGGGTTTTGAGTACAAACAGTTAGAAACGGTGCCTGCTACTGCTCGTTTTGCCTGATGATCATTATTGAAGTGATCGCTTGTTTTTCTATTCACTTCGTTCTCGGTACCAGCCCGCAGGTACTGGAGCAGCTCTGGGTTCTATGTTCCCGGCGAGCCGACGACACCCAGAAAGGCTGTTCCCGCACTCACGCAGCCAGACCTGACCGCCCCCCTGGCTGGCAGGCCCGCAGCGGCCATGTTTGGGACCATGACAGGCCCGAGGCTGCGGAGGAGAGCAGCCTGTTATGTAAAGTGCAGCGGTGTTATCCAGCCCGGCCTGTGAACAGCTCTTCAGATGATCCGTCTTCGCTCGGAGGGAAAAGCGGTGGCACATTAAGCAGCCTGGCTGGGGGAGGGGAGTATAGTTACTATCTAGACCCTGCTCCATCCCAGGAGTAAGCGAGGTTGGAGAACTCTCTCCTGAGAGGGACTGCATGGTACTGCCCGGCAGGAACGGGCGTCGCATGGCACGAGGAGCTGTGCACGGCGAGGCTGGAGAGGGCAGAGAAGGAATAATTGTGGATGCGGAACAGAAGGGAGAGGGGACTGGGTGTTTTGGGGTTTTTTTTTTTACTGGAATTTGTCCTAATCTTCTGTGCATCAGCTGCACAGTTTCCTTGCCTCTGAATCTCCGGGTTGAAGTCTGGGTCGGAGCACTGAGCCAGGGGCCAAGCCCTGGATCCACCAGCCGTGCCACCCCTGAGCCCGCCTCTCTGGGCCTCGGTTTCCCCTTGGTGACCCTGGAGAGTCACGGGACCTTTCTGGCCTCCCTGGAAGTGGGGTTTGTGTCGGACTCGTCTTCCTTGGAGGGCTGTGGGTGTGAGCACACTTCATCTGTTTTAAAGAGTTTCGTTCTGATTGGAAGTCCTTGTGGAAGGGTTGGGAAACGGGGGAATATAGAAAAACCCGGATGTGGCAGGGCATGGCAGGGCACGGGAGGGCGTGGTGCAGCTGCCACGTGGCGTTTAGAAAAGTTTTCAGGGCCCTGGGGATAAAGCAAAGGGCGGGGAGAGTCTAAGTAGCTGAGACTGCTCCTGGGACCAGCAGGGGAGGTCGTGGGACAATGACCTTCCCTGTGAGTTCAGCGCCCCAGGGCCCTGCGAGGGGAGCTGAGAAACTGAGGCTGGGATTGGGGGGTGCACTTGGGTACACCCTATCTTTAAGAGTCCCATGGTTGTAAGTTCGCCAGTTGGGGTATTGCAGTTGCCAACTATGTTTTTCACGAATTTCAGAGAGGAAGGGAGGAAAGAGAGTAGAAACATCAGAGGAGAGAGAATCATGGATTGGCTGCCTCCTGCACACCCCACAAAGGGGATTAAGCCAGTAACCCGGGCATGCGCCATGACCGTGCACCGAACCATGACCTCCTGGGTCATAGGTCGATGCACAGCCACGGAGCTATGCCTGCTGGGTGCCGACTGTATTTCTAAAAGCCAGGAAGGCTAATGACAGAATTGCTACAGGTTTATGTTTTGCTCCAAGGCAAGGCTCTAACCAAAGGCCACTGGTGGCCCCCGTACCGGGCTGTGGAGTCAGACACCTGAGGCTCCCGTTGGGCGGGAGCGGGCTCTGAGTGTAGTTTAACCGACAGGTTTCCCCCTGAGGCCTT